TATATATATATATATATATATGTGTATATATATATATGTGTATATATATATAAAAAAAAAATCAGATGCCTTTTATGTTTTGTAATAATTTGGATGAGAAGTTGCTCATTTCCAGTGTTGTGTCTTCCAGCTGCAGATATGGGACACGGCTGGACAGGAGAGATTTCGCTCCATTACTCAGAGTTATTACCGTAGTGCCAACGCCCTCATTCTCACGTATGACATTACCTGTGAGGACTCCTTCAGGTGCCTTCCAGAGTGGCTGAGGGAGATTGAGCAATATGCCAACAACCAGGTGGTGACTATATTAGTCGGTAAGAAGCTTAACTTTAATAACCGCTGGACCTCTTTTTTATCATCGGGCTCATTGTTCATTTTGAGAACACTGTGAATAATAGTGTGCGCTATATTTGACTGGGAACTGGCCTGGTTTTCGGAGCATAAATGTGAGCCTGAGTGAGCAGTTTTCTGAATAGATTTACAAAAGTCAAAGCCTTTATCCATCCCACACATGCATGCACACTCATACACCTCCACCTCCACCTGTCTCATCCACACCCACCATTGTTAAGAAAGACAGCCAGCTTGGTGATGCGAGAAGCCACATTCTTACTTGATTCGTGTATTGACGGATGAATGTCATGTTTCTTTCAGGTAATAAAATAGATCTGGCAGAGAAGCGAGAGGTTCTCCGGCAGAGGGCGGAAGACTTCGCCGAGGCTCAGAGCATGCTGTATCTGGAGACCTCGGCCAAAGAGTCCGACAATGTTGAGAAACTTTTCCTCGACTTGGCCTGCGAACTCATTCGCGAGGCCAAGCAGAACAAGCTGGATAACAATGACACTGCCCCGATGCCCGGTGAGGGTAAAACCATCAGTTACTTGACCTGCTGCAACCTCAATTAGGGAGAGCTCACACTTCTGGCCATTTTAACTCAGTAGCCATTGACTGTAGAGGGCAGATGGTCGAGCCTCGATGCCGCCGTCCCTCTAAGATGGCAGAAAGCCACCTCTTAGTCCCGTCATTTCTAGTCCCATGCCTTTTTAAAACCGTACAAGGGAGTTAGTCAACTTTAGTTTGGCCTTCCAGGAACAAGCATTTTAGATGCTGCCAGTATTGAGAGCTTTGTCCTCAATGCAAAGGGATGTAAAGTGTGTCTGCCTGATGCGTCCAGGAATCTGAGTAGGGCTCCATTTTGTCCTCTTCATAGTGAAATGGCAGAACTTTCCTGTTTGGGCTTTAGGATCCATTGTCATTAAACATCAGTATTCACCAGCAGTATTACGTGAGTAAAAAGTTCTACCAGGTATTTTGTTACAGATTCCGCATAGCTGACAACAAGTGTCATGATCACCGGAGGTTATCAGTAAATGGTAACTTAATGTTTACATATAGTACATTTTTCAGATTACCAAGTCTGATCAAGTTGAGAAAAAAAGTTTTGCAAATTTACCCTAAAATCTGTTGCACAATCAGTTATTCCCACGAAGTCTTTTGCTCTGAGCATTGCATACGACTTTATTACCTTTCATCTCATTTCTGTGTAGTTATTTGCACCCGTCATTACAAACTGTGAAGTATTTGTTCCCAATAGAAGATTTGTACTTGCTGCTAAACAATGTTTTTGTGTCAGATAACATAAACTTAAACACACATATAAATACTACATTGAAACAGTATTCTGTGACGCCATTATTATTCTCTTTTTGCATACTTGCAGTGCTTGCAATTAGTCGGTTGATATAGTATGAAGCAGTTGGGAAGGCCTCAGATATCGTCAGTCATCAGTAGAAATTATTAACAGTTTAATCAATTTACTTTTTTATTTGAATGTCAGCAGTTATTTTTATCCATAGACGTGAATATTTCTGCCTTTGTTGTTGCTGCCTAGCCATGAATTTGTATCACTTATTTGTTTGAAGGGGTATGTTCATGTAGTTTTGTGTATGACTTGTTGTACTTCATATGCTTTTATTGTGAAATTTCTTGATTGTGAAATTTCTTGGCATGTTTTGCCATAATTTGTAGTGTCTAACTTTATCTTTCATATATTTGCCATAACTGTAATGTACTGTATTGCACAATGCCATATACTGCACACTTATTCTTTTTATTATAACATTTTGTTGTACAGACTTGTAGTACTTCTTGGCACTTTGCTTTTATACTTTTTATTTTCTGTAATCCCTTTGTACAACCGGCGAGCATTTTGTTTTGCCTTTTACCATATGTTTAACAGCAGTGCTTTATTGTTAATCCCTTGCATCTTCTTGTCAACACAATATGGGAAATACAAAGGAAAACACTATTGGGCTGTTGTGCTTCTTTTCTCTTATGTACTAAATAATTCCTAAAAACTGTCCTTTCACCACTAGAGGGCAGCAAACACTCGTGACGATCAACATATAGCTAGGTAGACTGTACACTTTGTTATAAAACAATATAAAGATCAGCACATCATGTAACACTACATTTCCCAGAGGCGTTAGCATGCTAGCATGGCTGCATTGACGCTAACTTGATAAATCTAATATTGCAGTTCTTCACAGAGGGCAGTGATTTAAATACACAACACAGGTCATCTCCACCAATCATGTACCGCAGAGGAAAGACTGCAACATTTTAATAAACATTTATCATACACGCAATATATATTGTATTAAAAAGCACATGTTAAATCGGGTGTTTAACCTGCTAACTGGTAAGTAAATAAACCGACTAGCTTAGTTGCTTACTTGACACTTGTTTTAACAGTTCCGGTATGTATTTTCAAAATAAAAGCCCCAACACAAAAGGGATTTTTACCCTCAAAGCAAATGCAACAAGGCCTCGTTAGTGCGCAGCATCAATTTCCAATTTATCTCTGCTTAGCACTTCTTGTATACAGTTTAAAGGCTTAGCATAAAACACGTGCACACATAACTTTAAACTCCCATCAACCCTTGCGAGATTTACAGTAGGAACCTTCTGCTAACTGACTGCTAGCCGGCTACAGTGAAATTCAAGTTGTTCAAAATGTTGGGAAGACATTGAACTCTGAAGCCTCCTGTTCCTGTGCCCCCCCGTGTTGCTAAATATAGGTCACAAGCTGTCTGAACACACCTCGCTGCATTTGCTGACAGGCGAGTCTCACTTCCTTTCTTTTGAGGAACAGTCTCCTCTTCCCGGTGATCACGCGACCTCGCTATCATGTGCTGAAGACCAGTCTGCTGTGAGCCGTGTTTGACAGTAGCAGCAATGAGGGCTGGAGTCGGGACGCAGGTATGGGACAGAGCTGTAGCTACCTGCCTCCTGACGCTCTGTCTCGGCTGTTTACACGTGATCGCGCTCAAGTCACAACTCTTCACCAGGCTCGGAGGCTCATCTTACTCCACTGAGCCCCCCATCAGCTATGAAACGTTTTATTTTGACCAGAAGGTGAGTTTGACGTTCATCTCTGTAGTTTATTTCAAACTCATTTGTTTTATGAAAAGTATGTATTTATTCAGGTATGTTTCACACTGGTTTCTTCCTCCTTTACTTCTTTCTGTTTCATTCTGGTCTGCACCCTATAAGGGCTGAATTTAGTGTTGTAGAAAAGTAATCATTCAAATGATCTTTACAAAACCAAGAGCATTTAAAGCACCGTTTGCTGTTGGCTAATATCTGCATCACTTGCTCTTTCTAACATGTCAATGCACTTACTCCGTAGAAGTTATTTGTGTGTTTAGTCTGCAGACAATAGGTGTTTCCCTCGGGTGTCCTGTAGTGAAGGGAAAACCATCACAATTGGTTCTGTTCCTGCCAGCAGAACTGTCACTATCCCTGCTGGCTTCCTGCCTAAAAAGCTGTCCGGGGCCCAGTGAGTGTGAAACACTTTACCTCAGGGATCTTCATTCAAGCCTTTGTGTTTTCCATGTTGCTGTTACTTCATGGAGAATCAGATTGCATGTTGAGTTCATGCAGCGGTACGCAATGCAGCGTGACGTTCAGTGACTTGTGAAACTGACTCATACATACAGTCACAAGACTGTACACGTGTCTACATGACTCTCCTGTTCCTGCAATCAGGGATGCTGTGAACTCAACTCACATTTAGAGACAGTCTGTGAGCTGTCTGTATTTACCTTTTGCGTAGATACTGAAAAGACAATCCAGCCCATAAAGAAGTAAATAGAAACATTCCCTGATGCTGTTTCAACCAACGTTGAGAGGATTAATAAACACCTTAGAACAACACACAGATTATAATAAAGTGTGCATTACCAAAGCACAGAATATTAGGATTTTTAGAGCCACAGTGATTTGTTGATATCTTATTTGCAGCTGTTTTGATAATCGATTAATCATTTAAGTCAGTTTGATGGTTCCAGAGTCTCAAATGTTGCTTTTGATTCAGTCACCTTGGGCTCTAGAACAATGGTGGAAACTCTTTCCTGATGTTTTATTGACCGGACGTTTAGTCGATAAATCCCCCCCAAAAAAATAATCGACTGATTAATCGAAAATGAAAATTGCTTTTAGCTGCAGTCCTAAGTGTAATATTAACAAACTGCTGATGATGTGTATGCACAAGACAATATTTGGAGAAGGGGGACAAAGCTCCACACCTGGTCCGGCCCACCACATCCTGTCCAATCAGACACGCCGACAAGAAGATAAAGACCATTTCCTCCCTTCTGTCGTCCTTTGTCTTGTCTGATGTGCTTTCTTTGGCCAATCAACAAACACATTATATGCTTCATCTCAACAAGTAAACCAAATCAAATCCCTGTAATCCACTTTTCAGTAGCAAGTCTGCTGGGTTTTTTTTGTTTTGTTTTTTGTTACAAAAGAATCATCAATCATGCTGCCTTTTTTCGACACTCTCTGTGGGACGAGCTGCTGTGAGGGGAGCACCGAGTGATCTCGAAGAGGAAATCCTCCTGACTGCATTTTGCCTCCAGACAATGAATGGAAGTGTCCTTTAGCATCCTCCCAATTAACTGTTGTAGTTTACTGGAAGCTTGCGCTTTGCTAGTTTCCCTCATGTCTTCATTTGCTAGACTGTAACACGACAGGCTTTCCCCCCATTGAATAGTCAAAGTTCTGGTCCAGTAGATGTCCAGTATGTGAATGGAATTTTAATTGGAGCAAAGTGCTGGCTGCAGTAACCACATGGTGGCACTACTCATCAGGGTGTGGATTTGTTATGAAACCCGTCTGGTGGGGTTTTGTGATGTGCATACTGAGTGGGTGCAAATGTACTCACCAGGGGGAAAGGGGGGGGGGGGCTTCATGTATTCAACCACTTTAGTTTGGCATTTAGATCATAGTTCAAAGGAATATTTCTGTTTGCACTGCAACAGAATTTGTCTTTCAATAATTTAAGTGTTTACTTCCCAAAAATCAGACATCTACCATTTTAAAAACCCCGGTAGGAGTAAAAAAATAACTAATAAGACAAAATGAATGTTATTATTTTTTTAAATCTTTTCCATGGAAATGCAACAACTTAAATGTTAAGAAAATTCTTGCATTACAGTTTGGATGACCAGCACTACTGAGAGCGATTTAGCTGCCAAACTGCCAAACCTTTCCTTTTAACTGTCTCATGGTCCCCTCACACTTAAAAGCATTGCCAAGCGCTAAGGAGTCGAGGCTTGAATGAACACATTGAGGCCCCGGAATCTTTTTGGTGTCACTGGCTCATAAAATTGCTGCCTCCTTTGTGTCCACTGAGGAGGGAAGTGAGCAAGGAGGGAGGAGGGGGGGGGGATGAAAACAAAACAAAAAAACATTTTGTGTTAAGTGTTGGTGCTGTTTCAAGGGGTTGGACAACTCGACGGCGTCATGGGGCCGTCGTCTCTGTGAAGTTGTTGGTTTCTCTCTGCTTTTGTGTCATAGAGAATACAGGAAAATAAGTTGAAAGGGAAAGATGCCCCGGAATCCCTGAGTTTGTATGAAAGGACATCTTGTGGCTCATCTAAAGTGGAACTAATGCGGCGTCCCTTAAACTGGCTCCAACATATTTTAATACAAATTGGGGCTAATTACTCCAGAATCCAACCTCGGGACTGTCATTTCACAAGTTGGCACAGGGCCATGTAGCCACAGATCCCATCCAACTCAGAGTAGCTAATGCACGCTGGACACTTTAACGTCAGTAAATTATTGCCACGTTGGCTTTTCTTTCAACAAGTCTGACCGATGCACAAGAGACATTAACATTTTGACTTTTACATGTTGTACCTTTTTAAGTAAGTGAACTGCACATTATGTTATAAACATGTTATGTTTGTGGTCAGCTTGCGTAGAGTACATCTAAGATTATGCACCAATTTCACATTTTTTTTATGTGTCACAGATCGATCATTTCGGTTTCCTAGAGGATGGCACCTTCAAACAGCGATACCTCGTTGCCGACAAACACTGGCAGCAGCCCGGAGGACCCGTTCTGTTCTACACTGGCAACGAAGGCGACATCACCTGGTTCTGCAACAACACTGTGAATATCCCACCCGTGACCTTTTGTATTTACACTGCGCATAATCCCCGCTCTTAATTCAGCGCCTGTCATTGTTTTCTCCGTAGGGCTTCATGTGGGAGATTGCGGAGGAGTTGGGCGCCATGCTAGTTTTTGCAGAACATCGTTACTATGGAGAGTCCCTGCCGTTTGGACAAGACTCTTACAGTGTAAGTGAAGTGTTACACTTGGAGTACATCTAAGTCTGACTCAAATCTGATTAAATATGGATGATTACATGTTTTTTCTCCTTTTCTGGGTCAATAAGAATATTTTTACGTGTATATATATATATATATATATATATATATATATTGTTTTGAATGTCTTATTTTTACAACAATACTGGTCACCCGCTTGCAGGACAGCAAGCACCTGAACTACCTGACCTCGGAGCAAGCCCTGGCAGATTTTGCGGTGCTGATTCAGAACCTGAAGAGCACTTTACCCGGAGCTCAGCACAGTCCTGTCATCGCCGTCGGAGGTTCCTATGGAGGGATGCTCGCCGCCTGGTTCAGGATGAAATACCCCAACATAGTGGTTGGGTAAGACATCAGTGCGGGTCTGGGGGCCTTTAGGTTGGATTAACCCCAAAGATGTGCAGCTTGCGTAATTTTGAGAAATAGAAATGTTTTTGCTTCTTAATTGTATTTCAGAGCTCTGGCAGCTTCCGCGCCAATATGGCAGTTCACCGGTATGGTGCCATGTGGAGATTTCTACAAAATAGTCACACAGGACTTCGCCAAGAGCGGGAATAACTGTGACGCAAACATCAGAAAGTCTTGGAAGGCCATTAACAATGTCTCCTCCACTGGTAAGTTGTACAGTCGAGATGGGTTGATTTATCCTATGTGTCATAATGTAGGGAATCTGACTCATTTGAATTATTCAGAATGATGAATGAACCCCGTTTTATCTTATGTATGAGGAAGCCTCCTGGATTTTAAGAGTTTCTGCACGTTTGTCCACATCGTCTACATTTGTGGGTTTGATTCATTGTCGGCTAAAGCCTGAAACCAGACAGCTGTTACTAAAACTTGTTATATAAAGTGGATATAAAGTCTGGAGCCTCTCCACAGCACAGAGAACAGATTGTTATGTGTGGATCCATAAAATTTACAACCTGCATAACTCAGACTACCTCAATCCTTTAGTATTCAGCTCAGATCAGAATAAGAGAGTTTGCCCACAGGATCCTGGTACATTTTCCATTCTCACAATCCTAAACTGTCGGAATAAGCTTCATTGCATTGTGTGGTACTTTTTTATTACTATCACAACATTAAATAGTACACCAATAAAAAGGTTGATACCACTTTCTAATAAGGTGCCCTTTATAAGCTGTAATTAATGGCTTGGTTTATTGTTATTAAATCATCTTCTAATGCTTTATAGGACAGGTATAAGCTTTTAATAACTATAACCTTCAAGTTGCCAGGTCAGAGAAAATCCTCCTCTAACACAACAGTCATGTTGGAGGACGATAGACCACAACCTGGCAACCCAAAAGTTGTTGTTATTAGTGGTTTATAACTGTTCTATAAAACATCAGTAAATGAATAACAAAAAGTAGTAAAGCAATTAACCACAGCTTATGAATTATATACATATACATACCAATTTATATTCCACCGCTTTCATCAAATATTGTCAAAATTAGGTTTAATAAAGTTATAAAAATAATGTCAAAACAAGAGAATCATTTATCCACATGCTGTAAGAGATGTGTAATAGGGATGTAATCACTCCACTCATAGGCCAAACATTTACCATCACATAACAGTACAAGTAAAAAAAAAAGTACTGTAATCGCCTGGTGTTTGTCATAATAATAAATGATACAATTAAACAGGGAAAACATCTGGGTGATGGTACTTTTTTAGCCCATCACTGTGACCCAGAAGCTTCAAATAGATGGATGATTGATGGTTGTAAACGTGTGTGTATGTTGGCTGTTTCCTGGTAGCATCTGTCCCAAAACCTTGAGATTCCGACTACTGAAACAGTTGAAAAAGATAATAAGAAAGAAGATGTGATATTTGGACAACCAATCAGAGACTTTAGCATGAGAAGAAATGAACTGTTTGATTTAACTTTGATGGTTAAAGTATGAGGAATTTTCACAGGAATTAATTTTGGTGACAGATTCATAAAGAGCAGAAGGTTTGCTCCTCTTAAAGGAACAGTAATCTATTGGCAGACATGGAATGTAATGTTAATAAGTAAGTTTTCTGTGTATATCACCTGGAAATAACCTTAGAATGAGCCTTATGCATCTACTAACGGAGCAGGTCCTCTTAATGGAGCCGCCCGCCATGTTTCTACAGTAGCCCAGAACGGACAAACAAAACCACTGGCTCTTACATGGCCGTTCACGTTTTTCGCGTCAGTCACCATAGAGATGTTTCGGTTGGTTACAATCCGAACCGTACAAACCGACGTTTTCTGTGCATATACTAAATGAGTATTTGCTCCTTAACTTTGAGCACAACTATAAGATAATGGTTCTTTTAAATGCATGTTGCAGCTAAACTTATCATGAGGTTCTGACATCCTACCTGTAAAGACCCGTGGGAGCTGTAGTCGTTAAATGCTAGAAAAAAACAACCTTGTTTTTATCTTGGTTAAAACGACAACGTCAATGTCAAAGTTTGGTACCCAGCAGTAGACATAAATGCAGGAGTGACATTTAATAATTTTTTGCTCTCTTCTGACAAGCGTCTGGTCTTCAATGGCTGTCAGAAGAATTCAGTCTATGCGCCTCTCTGAAAAACGAGAACGATGCTGTCGGCTTCAAGAACTGGCTTCAGGAGACTTGGGTGAACCTGGCTATGGTGGACTACCCCTACGAAGCCAATTTTCTGCAGCCACTTCCTCGCTGGCCGATCCAGGTACAAAGATCCACGAGTAATATAAAATTTAAAAGAGAACTTGTGGATGAAAAAACGGATCCCAACAACATAATAAACTTCCTGCCAAAGGTCTTCACTTTATTGCAACTTTAAGTTTAGTTGGCCTTTGGTTAAGCGCCTGACAGCCTGTCCTTGATTGAAGTGAGCGTGTTATTTAGCCGATTGTGTTACAAGTGTTTGTTGTGGTCGCCCAAGCTTTTGTTGACAACAGCTGTCAATTAACTTCATTAATATTCATAAGGATCTCGTTTCTTTTGGATTTTAAGTATTCTTTAGATGAGCAGCTACAAGTAAGCCACCGTTCTTTTCTTTCTCTCGTACCAACGGTCCTTTCATTTGCACACTCCGTCAGATCTCTGAGGTGTTCCTCTTGGGACGCTCGCATGGCTCCACAGAAAGAGGACATTTGCCCAGAGCAGCTCATGAAGGCCATTAAAACAAAGGTTCACCCCTCTCCATTGAATGAGACTGTAACAAATACACTAGACACTTGATGAGAAAAAATACCAAAATTACCAAAATTGAAAAAAAAAGAAGAATATCACGTAATGAGGCCATTTTTTAAAACACTCCACATTATAAAACGTCCTTGGTTTTCATGTAAATGAGCTTGTATGACAGTATGGTGGCTGTTTGGCTGCGGCTGATTGACTTGGATGCAGTGTATTCCACCAGTCACCCTGACATGTCGCGTGCATAAACCAAGCTCTGCTACTGACCCCGGACTCTCTGTTCGGTGCTTCAACACCCCTCCGAGCGCCCCCATACAGCAGACTCGCACTAAAACTTTTACCAGTGCGATACATTTTTTTTTTTTGTCTGCTTATTTGTTTATCGTTAAGACTCTGAATAGTTCCAGGAGCCTCACGTCAGTGGAAATAAACACTAAATGGCCATTATGAGTTTTTTGGCTCCTTACCTTTAATGTATGCGACCCCTATGGGTGGTTTAAGCGGTTTAGGCAGTGGGTGCAAAGAGGAGCTTTTTTAATGACAAAGCTAATGTGATTATCTGAGTGAGTGTGAGAACGGGGTATTGAGGGCTTAGAGGAGGGAAATCTGTTGGCAGAGATGAATGTATAAGCCTAATCCTATCTGAAAAGTAAGAAGAAGATGCTTTGGAGCAATTGCAGTGTTTTTCTTCTTTTTTTTTTTTTCCACGGTATAAATCTTTGGTTGGACATGTCTGTGGCCCTCCTCATCCATCGACCACCAACTCCTCCCCAGCCCGCAGACAAAAGCCTTAGTAACAGACTCCACACTAGCGCAGCTCCCCTCCAGCCTCGGGACAAGAAAGCCCAGTTTGTCTGCCTCACAAAGAGTGCAGAACAACAGCCGCAGCCAACTCTGCTGCTGCAACCATAACAACACGCAGTGAAATTAAACAGAGGCTGAAACTCAAATATTTATCATCCACGCTATTAATTCTAAGGAAATCAACCGTGGTCAAACAAAATAGTATTTAGGAGAGCAACATTTAGATCATTGGCTATAAGTAAATGTGCACTTTTTCCTCCCCGTGCCAAGACTGCAGCGATAAATTCAAGTTCATTCCAGGGAATTTCACATGCAAATTAGGCGCCACCACTTTTTATGTGGAAAAACACTTTATGGGCCACAGGAAAGCTCCGGTCTTGTAAACAACTTGGATATAAGCTCATTCGATATTTGTATCTTTCTCTTTAATTCTATTTAAAAAGGAAGTGAATGAAGCTGTCAATGGCTTCAACAGCTCGCCTTAACTTTAATGTAATCACACACATTACTTTCTAATGTTTTGCTTCTTCATGATTATATTTTTTTCAAGGTGGTGTGCAAGTATCTGGCTTTCGATCCGGCTGTGTCGGACTACCAGCTGCTGCACGGCGTCTCCCAAGCAGCAAAGGTCTACTACAACTACACCGGAAGCTCCTCCTGCCTCAACACATCTCAGACGGCAACCGGCAGCCTCGGCTTCCTCGGCTGGTTTTACCAGGTGCGGTGACGCCCGAGCTCGGGGATCAGTCTTGTCACGCTAAATAAAATCGCAGCGCGCATGTGTCAGCGGGCAGCTTCACCTGTCACAATGAATACGTGTTCAATCCCTCATTCCCAGGCCTGCACAGAGATGGTGATGCCCATGTGCACGGACGGCGTCCAGGACATGTTTGAACCGGAGGAGTGGAACTTCAAGGCCTTCTCTGACGAGTGCAACGTCATGTTCGGTGTCAGGCCGCGAGCCGACTGGGCGGACACGGTCTACGGGGGGAAGGACATCGCCTCGCACAGCAACATCATCTTCAGGTAAACGTGGCTTGTAAAATGCCAGGGCTAGGCAGAAGGTTTTCTGGGTTTGTCTAGTGCAGTGAGAGACATTTAAAGTGCTGCTTTTGGCTGGCTTCTATTGCAGACAAATACAGAGTACCCACAGGAGGTAGACAGAAGCATGTAAAAATGTGGCTCAATCAAGGTTGGTCTTATGCGGTTGAATACCAATTAGCAGCTTTTGTCAAGCTATAAAATGGTCTGGCACTCAGTTTTCAAAGCAGCCCGAATGAATTGTCATAACATATCCCGAATATTAAAAGAGAGCAGCCCACGTGATACTGACAGATACTGACACACAACCAACCACCACGTTTGTAGCAGTGGTGGTTTAGTCGGTTACAACTAAAGTGCTTTGTAATTTTGTGTCACAAATTTCATTGTGCTTTTTATTCTACTTAAATCTGCATTAAAGTCTGTTGCCTTATTTTTATTGGGAAGTTCTGGTGTTAAAAGGTGATTTTTAAGTAAACTTACTATCTTGTATTTACTCCTTGTGAAGTTGGCGTAGACAAGTAGCTAAAAAAAAGAAAAAGAATAATGAGGTATTTTACTCTATCCACTTCATACTTTGTCCAAACAATTCTACAAAAAGTCGCCAATGATGCTCCATGTGAATACCCTAAATGAACTCCCCGTATATGCGGCACACCAGTGTCTGATCGCCGCCTCTGCTGTTGCATTTCAGTAACGGAGGACTCGACCCGTGGTCGTCCGGTGGAGTGACCTCCAACATGACAGCTTCCCTGGTTTCCGTTGTGATCCCTGACGGAGCCCATCACTTGGACCTCCGCTACAGCAATGACCATGACCCACCTTCAGTCCGCGCGACCCGGGCGTTAGAGGTGATGTACTTTCGAGAGTGGATCAAGCAGGCTAAAAAGACTCCTCAAACCTCTTAGTGCCTAAAAAGCAGCACAATGTCGCCCGACCCAGTCTGCCTAGCTTTAATTTACGTGACAGCCTTTCACAAGGTGCTCGCTGCATCATTCTGCCAAAGTATATGCCTTTTTATTAATTCATGTTGTGGACAATCTTTTTCTCTACATTGAATGATGGCCTTTTTATTTAAATAATTGCAACACAACTCCTGATCTTAATGCCATTAATCACGTGAGAATGTTTTAAGTGTATGAGACACACTCCATTTCTTTATGCCAAACTATACTTTTCCAAGGGCTTGGGGAGGCACACTCCATTATGAGCAATAAATGAGATTGAGTTGTCACTTTCTTTGTCAATACATTTAATCACATTATTGTCATCAAAAGACTGGATCATCCTCATTATGTTCTTTATCTCCCACGCTAACGCTTGCCAAAAACTAATTAAAGCCTCCAAACTTGTGTTTTCTTTTTGTCATTCACTGGTACAATCAGGGATATGTTTAGTTATTACCATCTTTAATTTCATTTTTGTCTTCCAGTTACAACTTGACACCCCGTATTGTTGTTGTCATTCTTGTCGATTAGCCTTTGTTGTTAGTCAGGTGTAGTTCTTCTTTCAAAGTAAGTGTTTAATCTGATTTTTTGCTTTTTAACACTTAAGGAAGTCTCAGGAGAAAAGTTTGCCACCAAATGGAAAGAAAATCGAATAAAAATGTTTTTAATATCCTCTGCACAGAGTGTAATATTCAACTTTATTTGTTATTGTTCACAGTGCCTTCCTCACTCTTTAAGTTTTCTATTCACGTCTTACACCAATTTCACTTAATACGCTGTCTACCGGTGAAAGGGATTAAAAAGCTACTGATGATATTGTCTTTTGATCATAGAAGGATGTACCGTTACTCTGTCAAGCCAACTCTTTGTCATGTTGTAGAGAGGCCGGGGCTTTTAAGTTACTTCCACCTAGCAGGAACAATTGCATGTGGCTGAGATTTAATAAAAACCCAATCGGAGGAGGCCAATAAAGTCAGTGGTGGGAGATTATTGCAGCTCCGCCTGCTGACCTCTCCCCTGTGGACCAACCTGTGGGATTCCCCCTGGCACGCATTCATTCACCGGCTGCCATTAAAGCTTTAAATTGCGGCACCAGGGCAGCTCATAGACCCGGGTTTGTTCCCCCCTGCTAGTAATATTATTAATACAACTCCTGGGGTGCCAGAGAGGTTGAGGAGGGTTGATGGAAGGTTAAGAGTGAAGCAGGAACCGGCAGGGACCAAGAGGCCTTTTGTAGTTCACCATGAAGCCGGGTTTTTTTTTATTTAAAAAAAAAATCAAACTCAAAGACTCAAACACCATGAAAATACTAAGACTGAAACACTTTGACTGCTAATGAAATCATGTCTTGTTGCTTTTTAATTTCCTTTAATCTATTCTGGTCCAATTACCCCCCCCACCCCCTCTTTTAAAGCAGAAGTTCCTGACATGACATGACTTTGTGAGGCAGATGGGGGAACATGTCTTGCACTGGTATGTGGGTTGATTTTCTACCGGGAGACACAAAGCCTGGACATTATGTCACAGGCTTGACTGGATTTCAGACACCCCAGTAGAAAGACACATGGCTAAACGTGGGGGAGGACGGGGTATTTGCCGCTAAATGCCGTCCTTAAACTTTTTCTCAGGACTTTGAGAGGTCATTAATTTTGCCAGCCCTTTCTTAGTCTCTGACACTGGCCATCAATCAAAGGTGCTATTAGTATTCTCCCAACCCCAAACTCCGAGTATCTCCCTGCTCAGACAGGGACCACACACTAGTATAGGAAGAGATTAAGCCTGTGTGTGTCACATCACGTTGGACCGAGCACCCTGCTCCAGAGGAGTAGGGTGCTGCTGAATAAGTAAATCTCTCAGGCCCAGAGGGCGTGGTGGTGGTGTTTAACAATATCTCAACAATGTGGATCTGTATACTTAACAATTTGGTTGTAGGGGAAACGGCACAGCAGATTACTAATGATTTGCTCCAAATTCAAATTCCCCCAAATCTCCAAACATAATGAGTCTTTGAAAATGTAATCTATAGTTCAACCCCTGTGATTAGCGCTAAAACAAACGCTGGCCCGTTATAGGAATTTCAAAAAACAACGTAACAATTAACCTCACACTTAGCGTCTCGAGAGTGGAAACAAGTCAAAAGCTCTCTGTTCATATATATTTTTTCCGAGCTGCTCTGCCTCAGCCCAACCCCTCTCGCCCTCGCAGCCTTTATGCAACAATAGCAACTTGTTTCCGGGATCTGTGCGTCAGGCTCTGTGATGTGAATGACCCACCAGCACAAAAGCCAAAGCCTCTTGACTGGGGGGAGGGGGATATAGCTGCCACGACTGTGATGATGTCACTTTGCCAAAACTGTGCTGCTAGCAAAGAGAGGGAGGCAGAATGACTTTGTCCAGGCGTTAAAAGCTCAGTTCTCCTCCACTGCATTCGTGAGACGTTGTGGTGTGGCATCACTGCGGTGAACTAAAAGTTTAGAATTTACAAATATATGCTTGTAGTATAATGCCAGATGAAATGAACTGAATATGCGAAGTCTAGTTTGTTTTCTCGCTTTCATGGCCAGCTGTATAAACAGAAAGATATTATTTGTTTTGTAGCCATTTGTTGCTCATAGATTTGAGTTTTTCTACACTTCTTTTCAGCTGCAGAGTTGTGCTGGGCCACGGATAATTAGATCAGTGCTATCACTTTCACTGTCTCCCTTTCTCCCCAGGAATTAACATAAGAAAGAATTTTTTAACGGCCTCACTCCCTCGCTGCTTCAGACTTTTCCTTTTCATCCCTCCAACTCTTAAATGAGTCACTGCCTCACCTCAACGTGAGCACTTTTTGTAAGAGGGAGGGATCGTCTTTCAATAATTCAGCTGCAGCGTCTCTTAACTTGAAATGAGAATAATACATGAAGGCTTTAGTGTGATCAGATTGAAACTCGTGCATTTTCTGGTAAACAAATATAAAATATGTGCTGAGTGTGACGGAAAGTTACACGTTTTTACTGCGTAGTTAAACTATGCCTGACAGTCCATACACTTAGAATTCGGTTGGAATTCCACTTAAATTGGGATGAGTGCTGGCAACATAACAATCTGGCTCTCGGACACATCCTCCGTTGTATTCACGGCTGGCCAAGAAGCTTCCTGTAAATAAGTTATTGTTTACAACAGAAGTTTCATACCCAGGATTTCTTTGGGTCAACATTTCTTCTGGCACACTGAGCCTGATCTGCACTTTATTCCCCTTTAATTTAACAGCTCCGGCAGCTTTTCTAGTTAAATCGACTGTTCATTATTGAGACCCATTTTACGAAGGGGCTGTGAGGTGCAATTTAATGAATCTCTGGCACAAAGCTCCCTTTCAGTGCCGGGCGAAGAATAGAGGCTATTTAGACCCTGTAGGGCTTTATGTCAAAGGCAGCCCATAATAGTTGTCAGGCCAGGGCAGAAATTCCCACTGGCCTGGGAATGCACTAGAAATCAACTTTTGCCATGAGCAGATTAAGACACAAGCGAGCAGTTGGTAAGATTCTCCCAAACAGGGGCATCTGTTTGGGCACAGAGATTTTCCCACTGAAAAGAGGCCTTTCTCACTACTATATAGCCTCGATTTGATCAGTGCCTAAATGAACAGTAATTAGATTACAAGTTAACTTCTACTTAGTAATCCAGACAGGAAACACACAAGTAGGCATGATAATTGAATAGTGGTTCAACCTTTTTTAAAGGCAAGCAGGAATCTTATAAATAAAAACACTCATTGGCTGTTTTTATGGGATATTAACTATAACCCCAAAAATATATAATTATATTTTCTCCTATGCTTAATAGAGATAGTTCTGCACAACAGTTCTACCCAGTAAAAGTACTATTCTTTTCTCTGTTACAGTAATGTCCTCCAGTTGTATGCAAGCCTTTTTGGTTCAGCGCACACACAAACAGTTAAACTAGAGGGGGAGAGTTCTGACGGAGGCTATTGTTTTCAACTCGGCAGGGAATTTCAGACAAATCCCTCTTAGATGCAGGTGGTCAGGCACAAGCAAAGAGTTAAGTCCTGCGCTCTCTTTGCCCCTCCTCTTTGATGTTCTGACATCATTAGTCCAGCCCCCCGAAAGATCTCCTTGCTTCCCTCCGAGCCCTTCACTTCTACTCTGGAATGTTTACAGGAACTTCATGAGCAGCATCAGGACCGAGGGTTTGTCAGGGGTAAAAAAAAGACATGCTCTGAAGAAACTATTGGTTCTGGGAGCACAGCGGATGCCACAGGTGTATAGCCGCTGGGCTCAGCAGAGGAATGGCTGTTCAGACTGCAATCATGAACCCTCAGTTCATGAATTTCTGCTTCCCTGGCTCTGTGATGGAGTACGACATGGAGAAGAGTCTGGATGGGAGTCTCCTCTGTGAGGCGGAAAATGACGAGGACTACAGGGAGACCACCAGGGACTTGCTGAGCTTCATAGACTCAGCCTCCAGCAACATCAAGCTGGCTCTGGACAAGCCGGTGAAATCCAAGAGGAAAGTCAACCACCGGAAGTACCTGCAGAAGCAGATCAAAAGGTGCACGGGCATGATAACGCCAGGAAACATAGCAGAGCCCCCAGTCAAGAGACAGGGTTCCCCCGTGGCTCAGCCCATGCAGAGCAAAACTCCGCCTAAACGCGATGGGGTCCAGGCCAGCTTACAGAGCAAGAGCTTGGCAGCCCTCTTCAGCCCTGTGAAAGATATAAGGGGTGAAAAAGCCAAGAAACCACCCCTGAGGCATCGCAATCTGCCCCCCTCTTTCTTCACCGAGCCGGCCAACTGCTCCAAAGTCAGCTCCACATCTGGGATGACGCTGAAGGACTTGGAGCGAGGCAACCCTGAGGCCGCAGAGTTCTTCGAGCTCTTGGGGCCTGATTACAGCAACATGGTCAGCGAACAGGACCTTTATCAAAGTGTCCGGGTGCAGCAAGAGATGGGAGGCCCGGATCCCTCTTCCTACGATGCTCAGCATTTAGTTGGTGGTCTCCTCTACTCGGAGCCCTGGACTAGCTGCTCAGGACCCTCTAAGAAAGAAGGCGAGAGCCTGCGTACAGGTCTGACCCAGCCTCCTGTCTACTGTCCCTCTGAGGCCGCTTCTGGGTCCATAGAGGACAACGCACTGTGCACTTTGGCCTTCCCGAACTTCTTCACAGACTGCTCCATACCTCAGGCCACTTATGATTTGAGTGGTGGTTATAACAGAGCTAATTATTCATCTCTATGAGAATGCGACAGTTCTGTTCTTAGAAGTGCTGGCAAAAAGCAGATAAAAATTGTTCTGACAAGTTTAACACTAGCCTAAGAGAGTTGCATATTATTGTATCACATTTGTTTATCTGTTGCGGAAGTAATATCGCAAATGGATTTCAACATTTTGTTCCATTCCCCTCTCACCAACAACACAAATCGCTTTCTTTGAGAGAAACAAGGAACTAAATATAATGTCTTTCATAAAAAAACATCCAAAGCTTTTTAAGTAACTGGATACCATGTAGTTTACAACATCTCAGTTTCATTTACTGCACTGTTCTGTGAAATGTTCAAATGTTTCTCAACGTTTCATTATCTCAGGCAATTTCTGATGACACTCGGAATGTCAGTTTTGTCAGCTGAGCATGTGAGTCTGTTCATTTGGATGTGTCTTATCAATCTGGGAATCTGTTAATGAAGACATTTTTTATTCTAACATGTTCATGTTTTTCAAAAAGACAAAATACAAGCTGCAGAAATAGGTGTTGGTTTAGTCCCCTGAAAGCCACTTTTTGCTAGGAAAGGTGTTATCGGACTCACATTGGACAGAACATGCTGAAACAATCGACCCTGTTGGTAACTGTTCAGAGGAGAGGAGAAAACACATTTTGCTCAAATGACTTTTACAACAATGTGTGACGCCATGTTTGTTTTCCAACATTTTACAGCTCATATAAATGAGCTGGCAGAGCCACCACTTGTATCCATTTTGTTGGAAAAGCCTTAAATGTATCTAGCTACTGCAAGAGGACAAAATAAAGCTGGTCTTTATTACCGTGACGACAGTGTCTTGAGTTTGTGTTCATTGCTGATCGTGGATGTTGTGATTATCAGAATACAAGAGGGTACAAGGCCAATGTCTCTAAAAATACATTTCCACAGTTCTGAACAGAGTTGCGGCGTGTTAAGTGAAGTACAAAATACGGCAATATATAAATAGATAAATACAGAAACGCTGGGGGTCAGATCAGCAAACCTTGCTGAGCGTTTTACATCTCATCTTAGAGTCTTTTCACTGATGCTTCGTTGCCCTGATTTTGTTCTTACTTGTTAAATTCTATTTGTTTATCTTTTTTTAATCTTTTTTTGTTGTATTTATTTATTGAAGCACTTTGTAACCCTGTGTGTTCTTTGCAGACTTTTACTTTTACTTACTTACTATTTGATTGCAATGCGATACAACTGTCTTATAATAAAACTGACAGAGTTGAGTCAACACACAAAACCATATGGAAAAAAACTAAATAGTTTAAATAGTTTTTATTCCAGGGCTGACATATTGCACTGTATTACATCACAGAGGTGTTTTTAATTGCTCTAACCATAGAGTGTATTTAAATCAATATAACAATATACTCTAATATGTATACTCATATTTATGCTTGTAAATACACTGCTGATAGCACACTGTTCAAACATCCTTCTGTGTCTGGTCCAATAAATCATAATTCCAGTCCCATTTGTTGAGACAGAATTAAAGAATTCAGAGCTGCATGATTAGTTTCACATTTGTTCTGGGGCTGAGCTGGCTGGTAAACACCCTGTGCGACATAAACACCTCAAAGTGTTGTGAGATTAGAATAATGCATGTAAATGTTAAACCCCTTCACATCATTGACCTTAATTAACTCCTCAACGTTTCCACAAACATGTCTTTATTCCCGCTAATGAGCAAAAGATGGAGGATTTGTAACATTCGTTTCAATTAAATTCACAAACCACTCCACTGGTCCATTTGGCAGCTAAATGTCTGAATAGGGGGATTGTTGAGGATCCGTTAATTTCCTGTATTTTTACATGAAGCTGGCTGGGGGTTTAAACTCCCACAGTATAACCTCCTCACAGGAAATCTCCCCCAACACATTTGAATTCCATGACCCCACTAAAAATATGATCACCCTCTGCTGGCTGTTGAAGGCTACTAACTAAACTGAACTACGACTAAATCTGCATTTTGTCAGCCTGCAAACCTGAGTCTATTTTATGTAAAAGCAAGGACAACATGGTTGTTTTAGACATATATGAGACATTCAAACAAGAATGTTATTGTAGTCTTTTCTAACAACACATTTTCCCGTGATGTCCAGCTGTTTCAGCATTGGCCAGAAACTACAGAGGAGGGATGTCAAATCAAGGTCAACTCCTCAAACGCACCGTCTATGATTTATCTTATATTCAGAAATGTAACATAACAATCTGAGCTCTTCAGATGACTAAACATGCACAATCTGGCTCGGCGCCACACTCCTTCATGTTACAGTGTACACACATTCACACTGACCAACGGTCTTTACAGTTGTTCATTACTTGGCAGCTCAGATGAAGTTTACCGGAGGTTAAGTGCCTTGGCTTGTTGTTGAAGAAGGCAAGTGCAATTTTCGTTTTTTTTTCTCCCTAGATTTATTGACCCGTAGCTCACTCCCTTTCCCAATTTTCAATCAAAAAACAATATAAAATGGCAGAGCTCCACAAATCTGTCTGCCAATGCTGTATCCTCAGGCCTGCAAGCAGCTACTCAACAAAAGCACTAGGTGGCAGTAATGCTCCATTAAAAATCAATGTTCACCACTCCCAGTCAGGCAGAAAGGCTTGCATCTGATGTATGAGATTATGTTTGAAATTGTAGCCTTGTGTGGTGAACACTGAGTGCCTTCTCAGATGTCTCTCCATAAAATGAATCTGTCCTGAATTGTGTATGTTGGAGGGGAATTTATGCTTGTAAACTACGATTTTTAATCTCTTTTTCAGAGTTGGTTTAAATGGATTTCCACTCACTAGTGTTAAGATGCTTACTGGTGTAAGCGTATTGTATGATGGTGTACATATTCATTGTAATATATGTTCTACTTTGAAACACTTGTCTGCCAGTTTTATTTTTCCTTTTTCTCTCACTTCCTGCCAGCTGGCTTTGTTTGCAGATTGGTCAACACTACCCTGTCATAAGCAAGACAAAATAATATCTGGCAATTTGCAATGGAGCAAACTATTCACACAGAAGAGAAGGCGTATGGATTTTCTGTCCCTGAGTTGACACTGGCTGATACATTCAGATTAGACCCTACTGATGGAGCCACAACTGTATTCTGCTTTGATTTATGGCACACTGGAGATGCTATGTTTGTCAAAGTGATTAACAAGACCGTGTTGGCGCAGACCTGAATAACAAGAGCCAGATATCTAGGTAAACTAGATAATATTCCGCAGATTTTCCCTGGCATGGTATGTGATGTCCTATGATGCAAAAAAGAAATATTGGGTACATGCACACACATATAACAAATGGAAACACAGGAGCATGGTTAAAAAGTACAACCAGAACTGACATGAACTCCACTGCAGAAATTTTGTTTTAGAGTTGTTTGCTTCATAGTGCTACACTGGAAATGGAGTATCCATCCGCACTTGGCCTCTGACTGACCTCTCTCAGCTTGTTCTCCTCATGTCTAGTTAACGCCACCGGGGTGGAAGCACGGTGCCAGATGATATCCGCAAGACTTTGTAGCCTCTCTCGGTGACATGCAACTTTTGTCCCAAAGCTCAAGTCAAAGAATCATTTTTTTTTGTGTTTGTTGCATGGAGGGTAAATAAATATAATAATAAAAAGAAAGAACTCACATGTTGGCTATCGAAGCATTGCCATTATCTTGAATTAATTGCTTTGCAGGGAAAATTTCAAAGCATGTCCAGCTTAAAAAAGTAAGATGTGAGTGGTATCATGGTATCTACTGATGATACGTTATCTGCTTTAAAGATTACATTATTTTTTTGCAATAATAAATTTACAATATATCTGTCATAACCAAATTTTAGCCGTTATAACCCCTGTGCTTCAATGTCCAAAAAGTGCATTTATACTATCAGCCAGCCCAGCAATTGATGTCCTCCTTTGGTTCTTCCTACGTCCTGCGAAATATTTCCTATCAAAGTCTTCAAGATAGGTGGGACTAAATTAAACTTTAAAACCTTAACACCAGAAATGTTATTTCATCACAGATGGTTTTGTAGGCTGCTTCCCACCTTTCAAGGACCTTTTCCTGCAAGGCTGTAAATAGAGGTACAGAGAGATACAACTTCACGGTGCATTTCTCACATCTTGTATCGCAAGGCCTCAAGCAGTGAAAGCAGTTAGTATCTGTGGATTTGGAATTAGTAATGTATCCCTCCTGATCCTTTTCTTGTCTATGGTAGTGAGATTACCCTGCACACAGCACAATATATTCCTTCCCACATGTAGTTCATGTCTGACTGCTTTCCATTTAAGTCTGCATTCATTTTCAGCAGCTATGATGCACTGCTTCCCTCCTTAGGGTGTTGTGGGTATGCTTGCCTACATCTATGTGTTTTTGTCAGTGTGATAACAATTGAAAAGTGAGCAGAAGACAAAAGTCTTGGGTAGATTAAAGACAATGCTTTCATCTCCAGCATATGCCACCCATATTGAAAGACACAAGTCTCTCAGGCAAATCACATGAATAAATATCAATTTAAAAGCCATTCCCAACTCGGATGACAGACTTTAATAGGTGGAGTCGCTCCTGTTATGTCTTAAAGAAAAACAACTTTCATTTCTGCGTGATTAAATGGACAAGCTATCCAAGAGGTCTAAGGAAGCAAAATGTCACGATAGTAAATTCTGTCTGATGTTTCAGAGGTGCAATATCTGGGATTCAGTGCATCGATAAAGCAGCAAACACCTATTAGCTGTGTAAAGATATAGTGAAGTAATGTCTACCTGAGCAGAGAATGAAGTCGCTCTCCCTCTGTGTGTGTTGTTATCGAGCTCATACTTAATGCGCTCATACGGCGGTTACCACTGATAACACCGTCCCAACCGACGGTGTTATCAGTGGTAACGGAGGCAAAGCACCCACCCTCCACTTCCCCCTCAGGCAGACACTGTTAGCTCTCTCCGCACTTTTGCTGTAGTTTTCACTGTTAGCGCTGTTAGCACCGTTAGCTGCGACCCACTGGCTCAGCTGTCACCAAAGCTGTTAGAAATGTTCCCAATTTGGTATTTAGCCCCTTTAAATTTGTAGGAAGGGCCTGGTGATGATCCAATGCTGTTGTTAAGGATGCTGAAACAATGTTTTAACAATAATATTGTTTTAGGCTACTTAGCATATAATAGAGATTCTACCCAAGCAGCCTCCTCAGGTTCCTCGCCTCATAATTGGTCATGCTCCACGAGAGCCACTGCTAGAAACTGTGGACCCCCTATCAACAGCTAAACAGAAGCTTTAACACACTGAATATCTAATATTGCTAAACACATTCTGTCAAGCTCTGGACCCCGTGAATTATTCAAGGCTGCCCCCATCAATTAGTGTCTCTGTGCACCTCCAAGGAGAGGTGGCTCTGGCTTTCTACCAAGGTCAACTCTTATTGATGACCCCCCCCCATCCCGTCAATTTCTGCCATTTGTCACTGCCATGCAGTCACTATCCAAGGCATGTGACCACAGGTGAAGGTCAGAAAAAAGACCAGCTGGAAAATCAAGAACTTTGTGCATTGTGCTTCCTTATAATTTTCCCATTACAGTTCTCATATTACTATTGCAAATGTTTCTAAATGGCAGTCAAACTCCAAAACTGTCTTAGCCTTGTCATAGCTGCTTTCTCTGGATGGGGCAGGTGACCAGAGAAACACTGCCTAAGATTTGAAGGTAATGATCCTCAATTTGACTACTCTTTGCTGCAAAACCTTTGTGTTCACAATAATGTTGATAGTAAACATTAGAAGGATGACATCGTCAGCAAAACAGCCCCACTAGCATTTTATAT